TTTGGAATATTTCTATATTTTAAGTTTTTCCTTTTAATATTTTGATTTCATTTAATTTTAGCTCTATTTTGGTAACCAACAATGATTTGGAATAGTTTTAGTGAACAATAACAACATTGCATGATGTAAATACATTTGTAATATTTATTTGAATTATTATTCATGCTTAAAACCCTGAATTTAGTGATAAATGACTAATGTTTGGACAATTAAGCCACAATTAGAAATGTATAAATGTATTTGCATTATTTAAAAAAAATAAAATCAAAGCTGTGCGCTTTATACTCACATATGACAGAATAAAAACTCCAGTTTTACCAAATAGGCCAAACTTCAATGAACTGGTAGGTACGTTTTCAAGAACCACTTCCTGTAAAATCACAGGATAATAGTATTAATTACACATAATAGTACACTACCATTTAAAAGTTTGGCGTCAGTAAGTAAAAGTGACACTTAAAGGAGTAGTTCACTAAAAAAAACTTTTGTTTATAATTTCCTCACCCCCATGTCATCCAAGATGTCCACGTCTTTCTTTCTTCAGTCGAAAAGAAAAGAAAAAAGAAGGATTTTTCTCCATATAATGGACTTCAATGGGGTCCAAACGGTTCAAGGTCCAAATGAGAGTTTCAGTGCAGCTTCAAAGGGCTTTAAACGACACCAGACAATGAATAAGGGTCTTATCAAGTGAAACGATCGGTCATTTCAAAAATGTTTTTTAAGCTTTCGTGACTCTTCTGTTTGAACTCGTTCATCAAAATGAACGAATCTTTTTTTCCGAGTGATTTGGTTGATTCAATTAACGAAATGACTCGAAAAAAGATTTGTTCATTTTGATGAACGAGTTTGAACAGGAGTCACGAACGCAAAAAGAGCAAGGCGAGCATTTGTGCTTATAAAACTTAAACTTTTTTATTTATTTTTGAAATGACCGATTGTTTCACTTGATAAGACCCTTATTCATTGTCTGGTGTCGTTTAAAGCCATTTGAAGCTGCACTGAAACTCTCATTTGGACCTTGAACCGTTTGGACCCCATTGAAGTCCATTATATGCAGAAAATCCTGTAATGTTTTCATGAAAAACCTTAATTTCTTTTCGACTGAAGAGAGAAAGACATGGACATCTTAGATGACACGGGGGTGAGTAAATTAACAGCAAAAGTTTTTTAAAAGTGAACTACTCCTTTAAGACATTGATAAATCCAACTTCCACCGTTCTGTTCATTAAAGAATTCTGAAAAAAAAAAAATACGGTTACAACAAATATTTTAAGCAATACAGCCAGTTTCAACATTGATAATAATAATAATAAATGTTTCAGACGAAACTTTATCAAAAAACGCAGACTCCTGTGAAGTCACTGAAGTCACTATGATGTGATCGGCACAGGCCCGTTGGATCTGTATTAATTGGCAACTGTCTTTTATGTGTGATCCATAACAGCTGCAGATCCATTGGTCCAGAGTCTTCATCTCCACAGTGATGCCGTGTTGTGCCTGGTGTCAGATGACCAGTACATCTTATCAGGCAGTAAAGACAAAAGCGTCGCTCTGTTCGACCGCAGGGCGGGGAAGCTCCTGCAGAAGATTCAGGTATTAAAGCCACAGAATAAAACATTTTAAAATATAATTGCGACAATTATGAGTATACATCATGCAATTCTGACTTTATTTCTCAGAAATGCGATATATAAAGTCTTGCTTGAAATAAAGTCGCAATTGCGTGTGAGAAATAAACACAACTGTGACTTTTTTTCTCGTAATTGCAAGTTTACATCACGCAGTTCTGACATATTATCTCAAAATTGTGAGATAAAAACTCGCAATTGTATAATTTCTCAGAATTGCTTGTTTCCGCCACACAATAAAACATTATAAAAGATAATTGCGACTTTTTATGAAGTACTTATCCTGAACTGCGAGATAAAAAGTCGCGTTTGAGAAAAACAGTCGCATTTACCTTTTTTAATTTTTATTCTGTGGTGGAAACAAGCTATCATAGCTATTCACACACAAGCTAAACATAAAATAATAAAAGATGGCGTGCTCCTACAAGCGGCTGTTTGAGTCTTGTTCGTGTTTGCATGTCCACAGCTGAGCTCCTACCTGTTGTCGCTGTGCCACAGCGGTTGTGAGGTGTGGGCCGGGGATAACCGTGGACTTGTGCACACCTTCTCCCTGCACAACAGCTGCCTGACACCCATATCACACTTCAACATCCACCGCTCACTGGTCACAGGTGTCCACTCTTCTCCTGGCACTCTCTACACGTGCTCCTCTGACCGCACTATCAAGGTGAGGCATCCCACAGCTCAACGTGTGTCCTGTTGGCATTTATCTAAGGTTATCGGCAGCTCACATCTCTAATTCTGTGCAGATCCACCTCCCATGTGCTCCACCACAGACGCTGTGCACACTTCACCATCAGGCAGGAGTTAATGGGGTACGGTGACTAATTTAACCATGATTTTTCTCTATGGTGATTCATTTTATATGTATTTTTTTGTATTCCTTTCAAGCGGTCATATGGGTGGGCAGTTTGACCAAAATCATATATCTTATACACTACTGTTAATACTTTAATTTAGCAAGGATGCATTATCAAAAGTGACAATGAAGCAAGTCAAGCCAGTCACTTATTCAAAGTACAATGAATACAATGAAGACTTTTTATAATAATAATTAAAAAATCTTTCATCAAATCATATTAGTATGATTTCTGAAGGATCATGTGACATTGAAGACTGGAGTAATGATGCTGAATATTCAGATTTGATCACAGGAATACATTACATTTTAAAAATATACTCGCATTGAAAACAAAATTTCACGATATTACTGTTTTTACTGTATTTTTGATCAAACAATTACAGCCTTGTTTAGAATAAGAGACTTCTTTCAAAAACATGGTAATGCTATTCTCTACATTATTGTACACACTGTTCATATTTTCGGTGGATACTCAAGTCACACGTTTAGTTCCCAATAGAGAACATAAATTAGGGGCTGTTTACGCTACACCGTTTTCAACTAAAATCTAGGGCTGTGCAAAAATGAATTGCGATTAATCGCATCCAAAATAAAAGTCTGTGTTTACATAATATATTTGTGTGTGCTGTATATAATTATTTTGTAAATATAAATACACACACATGCATGTATATATTTAAGAAAATGTGTTATTCATATATAAAATATTTATATTTATGTAATATAGATTATGTATTTATATATATATACAGAATTTAAGCGCAGATAATTCTTAAATATATACATGCATGCATAGGTATTTATATATACAAAATAATTATATACAGCACACACAAATATATAATGTAAACACAGACTTTTATTTTGGATGCGATTAATCGCAATGCATTTTTGCACAGCCCTATTTTATGCGCTTTGGCCGTTTATTTACACGTTTTGTGGGCCTGAAAACACAAACTTTTGAAAATAGTTTCACATGTGTATCAGTGTTTCTTTACATAGTGACATCGCCAACTAGTGGCCAGGCTTGAGTAATACAGCGTTTGTATTATCCTGAATTGTGCAGTTATTCTGCATTAATACAATTTGTTAGTAATTTGCACCTCGATATTGAGATTTATCATTTTTCGCAACATTCTGATTTCGTGATCTCGTTATTTATTACATCACAGTAGATATGATCTTGCCTATTTTTGGATAATCCAGTGGATTAAGTATTTTTACCAAATGAATGATACTTTAGATTTGATGAACGCAAACCGTGAAAAATTTGATAATTCAAAACATACGAATGAATCAATGCAAAATAACCTTCACATTATGTAACACTTAAAGACTCAAAAGCATTTTGAATCTGATTGGATGAGCCACTTTCAAAGATATACCACTTTATAACATAGATACACTGTAGAATAAGGTTGAAGTGAATCTCAACCTTTTTGTCATAAGTATTTCTGTTGGATTATTCCCATAACTCTTATCTAGCAGATGTCTATACTTCCATGCATTAACAAAAGGCTCATCATTTTTCTCTTCCCAGTTGAGTGTCGAAGGAGGAACGCTGGCCATCGCTTCTGGTGACATGAATGTGGAGGTTTGGAGGCTCAGAAACTGAGAGTTCAAAAAGCATTTCAATGCAGGGAACAACATTCATGTGCTGCTTTTATTGGGGAAAGGATGTTTTAGGTGTCTGATACATGTCTATAGAAACAAAAACTTGACATTCCCAGCTGTCCATGGTTCTCCGTTCTGCGTTAGCACACTAAACATTTCAGGAACACCACCTCGGTTTTCCTTACAACTATATCCATATATTTCCAGTTTGCTTGTGTGATGATCATTACTTGAAATTTCAACAAAATTGATGTTAACAACAGTATAATAAAGTGAAGTTAAATTAGTACAAACAAGAATCATTATAAATCAGTTTAGATGTGTAACACAAACAAGGAAATCGGTTATGTGATTCAATTTGTTTTTGTATACTTTTCAGCGCACTTATACACGCTTAAGTATACACTGCACAGCTTACACTGTAAAAATGAATATGCTTTATCTAATCAATAAAATTGTGGCAACAGATTACAAGCAATATTATTAATTAAATTTAACAAATTAGAATTGAGTAATAATTAATCAAATTAATTCCTTAAAAGTTAACAATTTAAAGTTTGCACCCAAAAATGTAACAAATATCTGAATAACAGACAGACGTCAAAGATTAATTAAAAACTATTTATATTATATTGCCAACATTGAAGACGCCTGATGTTAACAAGCAGAATCACTGAAGGAGAAAACCGTATTTTTAAAACAATCCTAAAACAAACACCGATCAGCATAATGGTGACTTACATGTACGTTTTTTGTTTGTTGTTGGTGTAAGTTTTATTCATTTTAAATGGTTAGCTTTTAAGGAATTAATTTGATTAATTATTACTCAATTCAAATTTGTTAAATTTAATTAATAAAATTGCTTGTAATATGTTGCCACAATTTTTTTGATTAGATAAAGCGCGAGGCACTGTCCTTTATGCACTGTCAGTGAACACTTTTAACACCATGACAAACTAATAAATAGACTTCATTTAAAAAAATTCCATATTTATGAATTATTTATAACTGCAGAGTTATAAGTTGCTCTGTGACTGACTGAATGTCCTGTGATCAAAATCTCTTTTTTGTTTGATTGCTTGTTTTTTTTCCCCAACAGCTTTATAAATGTATAACTCTGTAATTCAGTTTGATTTTTCAAGGTGTCGTTTCAAGACTGCAAATAAAAAGTAAGATTGTTGATTACAGCAGCACGCATGTCTTCTTGTCTTTGAACGGGTTGGAAGACGCTGCGATCCCGGTGAGCAGTGGATCGGCTCTCCTGTGTTCCTGACAGTACTGGACGATCTGCTCCGCCGCTGCCGAAATCTATGTTACATATCACAGACAGTTATATTACATCATGTGATATTCTCTGTTGGGTTTAATGCATTACAAAGTCATTAATTACTGTAATTTCCCTTGAAAAAGTAAGTAATGTATCACTCATGTTCTGTCATTTAATTAGTTAATTTTGATGTGATTGCATTGAATACTAGATAGACTATAGAACAAATCTGTATAAAACTAGTGGATTTAACGTAAAAAAAATGTAATGTATAATTTCAAAATGTATGTGACCCCTTTAAATAGGGAGACTAATAATTTATGCAAATATATATATAATTTGAAAAAATTAAAGGAACAGTTTCGTGTCTATCATGTTGTTCAACTGGTCAAGGTTTATGTGGGGTTTAGGAATTTATTATTAATTTAATAAGCAATGCAAATCCTTTTTAGAGAGAGTAATAAGTACAGTAATCTAATTACAGTTACACTGAAGATGTAATTAGGAATGTAATGAATGAATTACTTTTAGAGTAACTTACCCAACACTGATTTATTATACACTCTCAAAAGAACAACCACTTTAAATATGAACTAAAAATGAAGGACACGCACACACAAGCACTAAACAATTAACTAGACACAGGTGTAACACATGAGGGCAAATCAAAAACCATGGCAACTAATGACCTACGTCAAATAAAACATGAACTAACAGAAAACTGCAAATCAAACAAGATCACTACTCAAACACACAACAGACATAACTATTATATTATAATTATATATAATTATGATATACCCCTTAAAGGTTCCAAAGGAGGTTTTACAGTTATGTCTTAGAAGCGCCATTTTTTCCTAACGTAAACAATCAAATACATTTTTTGAATCTGAATAACCTAAATAAAATAACATTTATTTTTAGGTCTTTATTATATTATGCTTTGAAGATATTGTAATTTCAGCCATATACCATAGAAGATAGTCTCTAGAAGGTAAGAAGGTGTAGTATCAGTGGTGAATGCGTCTCACCTTGACTCTCTGCAGTTCTGTCTCCAGCCTCAGCTGCTCCACAGTTCTCCTGGCCTGAAGAACATTATTACTGCAGTATACGTCCATCACTGCTGCTCAAACTCAGACTTGCTCCTGCTGGAAAGCATGTGCAATCTCTGAGCATTATATGAATGTATAATTCTGTCTGATAGATCGTGGCTGAAGCTGTAATTTTACCTCAAGAGTCCATTTGGCTTGTTGTGTAGTTCAAATGTTCTTGTTTCAGCGAGAAAGAGTCGGTGTCCAGTGGAGGCATTTATATCTCAGTGGGATGATGAACCCCTTCATCCTCCACACACACACACACACACTCTGCTGGAAGCTTCAAAGGTCCTGTGATGTGGTTGAGTTCTGAGGTCACATCAACAGTGCCAGAAATGTCACGAAAGTTCAGTAGTATTTGATTTCGCTCTGGTGGTCATGAAACCTCTCTTAAATGTGTGTATCTGTGTGCACATAGCTTTATCCTCCTGATATGTATGAGAATATTAAATGTGAACTGTGTTTAGTGTGCTTCCTATGCAGAGCAATCATTTGCATTTAATCAATTACTCTGTAATTTGAGATTTAAAAATAGTGCATATTTCATATGTCTCAATTGAAATGTTAGTTACATATTACAGTAAAGTTATATTAAACTTAATTCAGCAATATTCATTTGTCATTCTGTTTTTCGCCTACTAGTGGTCATTCGGAAGTATGTGATTTCGATTCGCGTTTTGCTAGTTTGTACCGCTGCGCTCGCCGTAGTTTGAAACATGTGGCTGATCAAATGTGCGGTGCTGTGAGTGCGATCAGCGATAAACAACAATAACATACCGGGTGTTACATACTTAACCGCTGGGGTGAGTGTAACATTATTTATACATACGAATAAACAGAAACAAATAGAGTATGTATTTATATTTGCGTTATATAACACAATCAATTATTGACCGGTTAAAATCAATGATCTAGCGATCTAGTTTTAGTAGATAACATGTGCACGAGTTGTTGAACAGTGCTGTGGTAGAATTTAACTTGTACCATGATATTCTTTGTGCTATATAAATACCATAGTAAATGTTATTGTGGTCATTCAGTACAATCAGCGCATGCTGTCATTAACTTAAGTGTGTATAAGTAATATATGCTGGTTGTGTATCATTCCCAGGCTGCTCGTCATGGCTCACCTGGCTCCCCCCGTGGCGAGGGACGCAGTGTTGAAGGAGAGCATCCCTCTCCCGCAGGACATGCTCCAGATTAAAGGCTATGACTTCAACCAGGGGGTGGACCATCAGGCCCTGCTGCAGTCCTTCCTCACCACGGGCTTCCAGGCCAGCAGCTTCGGCCAGGCCGTGCAGGAGATCAACAGGATGGTGAGTCTCCCCTCTCAAACACTTTATCCAACAACAACACTGAGATCTAATATGCTGATTTGGCGTTTTTATTTATTATCATCTGAAAACCGTTATTGCTGCTTAATATTTTTGTGGAAACTGTGACGCACTAACATTCAGAAGTTTGGTGTTTGTTTGCAGACGAAAGAAAGAATCAAAAGGGACAATACATTTATAATGATACAAAAGATTTCAATATAAAATAAGTCTATTTATCAAAGAATCGTGAAAAAATGTATCACAAAATATTAAGCACATATTAAAATGTTTCTTGAGCATCAAATCATCATATTATAATATTTACTAATTTCTGAAGGATCATGTGATGACTGGAGTAATAATGCTGAAAATACATCTTTGATCACAGGAATAAATTACATTTAAAAAAATATTCAGCTATTTTTAAATTGCGATTAATATTAAACAAGTTTTCACTGCATTTTTGATCAAATAAAGGCAGCCTTGGTGAGCATCAGAGACTTCTGCATTGAGCATATGAGAACATACAGTATGTATTTGAGTAATATTTATTAAAACTTAAACTTTTCAAACCTATGTGAAAGGGTTTATCTTACACAAAGACATTCAGAATAATAATAAACTTGCCTGAGTGTCTAAATACTTTTCATATGTGAAGGAACATCAAATAATAATAGCTTATCAATGTGGTATAAATAACATTATTTAATAACTCAATAAGTGTGACTAAATAATACATGTTCAAGTATTACAGAAACATGCAATTTGTTTGTGGGCTTTGTGTGATGTCGTAAAAATCACATTAAAATCAGAAATCACACATGACTGCGCGTGTTTTTTCTTTCTCATGTCTGTGGTCGGAGTAGATAGAGAAGAGACTGGAGCCGGTGGAGGACGAGATCGAGGGCTACGAGGATCAGACTCGTTCAGGATGCACTATTTTCTTGGGCTACACGTCAAACCTGATTAGCTCCGGTGTACGAGAGACCATTCGCTACCTTGCACAGCACAGAATGGTACGACCACCCCAGTGAACAAGCACTGTTACGCACTATTATCTATTCTGTTGTTATGAAATGAAAATATTCTTATTTTATGTTGAATTATTTGATGTGTTTGTAGGTTGATGTGATCGTGAGCACAGCAGGAGGGATTGAAGAAGACATTATAAAATGTTTAGGACCCACTTACCTTGGAGAGTTCAGTCTAAAAGGAAAAGAGCTACGACAGCAAGGCATTAATAGGTGTGGAAACGGCTCCTGATTAGATCATTATGGTGTTTATATGCAATTATTAATTCATTTTTTTTTTTGTCACAGAATAGGTAATCTCCTGGTACCAAATGATAATTATTGTAAGTTTGAAGACTGGCTGGTACCTATTCTGGACCAAATGGTGCTGGAACAAAAAACAGAGGTGAGAAGTTTTATTTTATTTTACTTTTTTTATTATCATTAAATTGGGTGGTGAAATGTTTGTTTAAAAAGCCTATTTTGCACCAAATGGTGCTGTAACAAAATATTTTATTTTATTATATTATTTTATTTTATGTGGGGGGTTAAATATTTGTAAAATTACCTATTTTCAAACAAATAGTGCTGGAACAAAAAACAGGATTTTTTTTTTTTTTATTTTTTTTATATTACTTTACTTTTTTTATTATCATTAAATTGGGTGGTTAAATGTTTGTTAAAAAAGACTATTTTGCACCAAATGATCCTGGAACAAAATATTTTATTATATTATTTTATTTTATTTGGGGGGTTAAATATTTGTAAAATTACTTATTTTCAACGAAATGGTGCTGGAACAAAAAACAGGAATTTTTTTTAAATTTTTAAAATTTTATATTACTTTACTTTTTTATTAGCATTAAATTGGGTGGTTAAATGTTTGTTTAAAAAGCCTATTTTGCACCAAATGGTGCTGGAACAAAATATTGGATTGATTTATTTATTTTTATTTTTGGTGGTTAAATATTTGTTAAAAAAAAAAAAAAAACTATTTTTGACCAAATGTGCTGGAACAAAAAACAGGAAGTTTTTATTTTATTTTACTTTACTTTTTTATTAGTATTAAATTGGGAGGTTAAATATTTGAAAAGATGCCCATTTTGACCAAATTATGCTGGAACAAAAGGTTTTGTTTTATTTTATTATATTTGGGAGGTTAAATATTTGTAAAAATGCCTATTTTTGTCCAAATTATGCTGGAACAAAAGGTGAATTTAATTTAATATAATTTTATTTTACCTTACCTTTACGTTCCTTTACTTTTATTTTATTTAATTGAGTGGTTAAATTATAAAAATGCCCTTTTTTTACCAAATGATGCTGGAAAAGATCTTGTAAAAGAGGTGATGCATTTATTTTAGTTGCATTTGGCTTACATATTGAAGTTTTTCTTGTAAGTGAGAGTGTGCAATATTGTTAATTGTTTTTACATCAGGGCACACACTGGACACCCTCCAAAATGATCCACAGACTTGGCAAAGAAATCAACAACCCAGAATCGGTGTACTATTGGGCCTATAAGGTAATGTTTGAATCAGACACACCAGTCCCCTGTATCAATCCTTCCTCAAATAGAAATCTTACAGATTGGACGATTGTTTTTTCAGAATGACATCCCGGTGTTTAGCCCCGCCCTCACCGACGGCTCATTGGGTGATATGATCTACTTCCACTCCTATAAGAACCCCGGACTAGTGCTTGACATTGTGGAGGGTGAGTCACCCAAGAAGTGATGCGAACGCAATTTGGAGATTATTTTAGAAATCTCACTTTTAATTTTCATGTTGTGTACGTCAGATATTCGGAGGTTGAACAGCAAGGCCGTGTTTGCCAAGTCCACAGGGATGATCATTCTCGGAGGAGGTCTCGTCAAGCATCACGTCTCCAACGCTAATCTCATGGTAATCATATGAACCTCAAAAAGCACAATGATCTCGACTCACTCAAAATAAAAATATTAGTGCTGTCAAACGATTCAAATATTTAATCGCGATTAATCGCATAGTCAACTCGCGATTAATCACACATTTTTATCTATTCTAAATGTCTCTTGATTTATTTGTCCCTTTTTTTCTCATTTTAATGCGAAAAATTAATTTCAACATGAAAAGTAGATCGGCTTGCTTTGTTGTTGTTTTGTTTCTGGTCCAGCTAGATCCATTGCGCTTTGGTCGACGAAGCAACTAAATGTCCTCACGCGGCGCAAGCCATTGAAACGAATGGGTTTCATAGAGCCATGAAGGCCAAAAAGACCGTTAATTGTGCGATTTAAAAAATAACGCAGTTAAAATGGGTTTGCGTTAACGCTGTTAATAACGCATTTAACTGACAGCCCTAAAAAGTATCTCATCTGTTTTTGTCCTCTCTCAGAGGAATGGAGCAGATTTTGCAGTGTTTGTCAACACTGGCCAGGAGTTTGACGGCTCTGATTCCGGCGCCAGGCCCGATGAAGCCGTCTCTTGGGGAAAGATCCGCATGGATGCCACTCCTGTTAAGGTAAGATATATATGTTGGGATGCTCTTGCAGCTATTACACTCGTCACATACGCTGGTCTGGTTAACTGTCCTGTTGTGTTTCTGTGCAGGTTTATGCTGATGCTTCTATAGTCTTTCCACTTTTAGTGGCTGAAACTTTTGCACGCAACGCCGACAGGCTGATCAAGGAAAAGAAGAGTGATTGATGGAGCTGTTCTCTTAAACGCGATACCCCTCAGGACTGTCTTCCTGTTAGCTTGTGTTTCTGCTCAGATGGATTGAATGCTCAATATAAAATAATAACATCTTGGCTAATTGTCCATTTCAACAAGGCAAGCACAACATCATTGTTTATTTTGTCATGGATTTCTCTGTCTGGTTAAATCATATAGTAAAATATGTTCAAATGTGTTTTTTTATTTAATTATGTAGCTAGATACAATGTTCGTTTTATTGTATGTCATCCTATTGTTTGAGTACTGCATTTTATCTGGAAGTTTATGCTCTCTCCATTTTCAGATTTGGAGACTACATTTATTCCATTATTATAATGTAGCTTCTAGAATGCATGAACATGAATGAAGAGAAGTTGAAAGACATTAAATAATTTATTAAAGATTCTGTGCATGTATTTATCTCTTTAAGAAATGTATGCATCCTGTTCTGCCACCAGAGGGCAGTTGTGATTCACTACCTGTAGTCCAACTGTCTCTCAATCCACTACTGTACATTTTCATTCCCACGAGGCTCTTTTGATTTACTCCACTTGGCTGGGAGTGTATAAACAGTTTATGTAATTACAGTGAGAAACTGTAGAGATTTATACTGTTTTTAGCTGTTCTGTGGAAACCGGTAGTTGAGATGTTAACGGCGTGTATTTGCCCGTGTGCAAATCAAGTGTTTTTGACCTAAATGTCAATGACCTAATGAATGTCTTAGTTTTGTTAGCATAGTTTCAAATTCCTTTTTGCACATTTGAACTTTCAGCGGAAAGCAATCTGTGTCTTGACCTAAATATTATCTGAAAGCTGCATGCAAAGCCTGACATAATGCTTTCGTTTTATAATTACAAAAACTTGTTTTAATAACCATATTGTTTGACAGAATGGGATTCATTTCATTTTCACAGTTATGCATTTAGCAAAAGCTTTATTCCAAAGTGACACATTTCAAGACAGAATTTAATACAGGTCTGCCAACTTGAGTTCAACTTGTCTTGGAGTGACAATTATTGCTGCAGGGTAATAATGATTCATAAGCTACAAATTCAATGATTCATTTTGATATATGCATGAACACAGTAGGCTACATGTGAAAATATCTTTCTTTTGTTAAGGTTAAAAATAAAAACTTATTTGTATACAACTGCATAAAATACTATTTTTTAATTATGCAAGAGTAAAAATATATAAAAGTGTTTTTTTTTTACAAAATGCTCCCTAGGCAGCATATTTCTTAATATCTATATGCAGGTTTTGTGCAGATATTATAAAATGAAATTCAAGGACTTTTCAAGCACTACTTTTTTGGTTTTCAAGGACCGCAATCAGAGATCTCACTTAACAAACAATATCTTTATTATCCTTCAAAGTCTAAATAAGGTAAATAGACACAAATAATTAATAAAAATTGTAAAAAAAAAAATTAAAGTGCAGCAAATGCAATGACTGGTAATTTCAACTAGTCAAAGATATTCTTATTTAATCTGATTTTTTTCTCAATGATTAATTTTTCTCCTGAAGAATGAAAGCTCTAACATAATACTTGGATATTTATATGAGCAATTTTGCGTGAAAAGATTGTTTTATCAATAAAATTAAGTATTAATTTCACATATATTGTCTTGTAATTCAAGCACTTTTCAAATATAGCCTATGGCTGTTTTCCAGGACTTCAATTTAAAAAAGTCAAAGTATACTTCAAGCACCTTGTACAAATCCCGTAAATATCACTGGTCCGACTCGACCCAATCCGAGCAGGATTTGAACCGGTGTCTCCGACGTGGGAGGGGCTGCGCGTTAACAAGAATGCTAAAAACAAAAATTCTAGCATCAGTTGCTAGCGCGCTTCTTGAGCCCAGGGGTGTGAGGTTTATACTCACACAGCTCTTACTGGCCTACGGCTGTCACATATAGAGTTTATGGACACAGAATGGCTTTTCTGAGGTAAATACAACATTACATGATTGTTTCAAAGCTGTTTTATAGAAATCGTATCGTGAGAGCCTGAGAACAATGTCAACTGTGTGAGTCTCATGCTGAATGCGACCCTAATCCAATATATTCAGCCTATATTTCATTTGTTCCTGTTTGTTTCAGTATGGAGCCAGGACACTGAATTTTATCTGATCTTATCCAGCACTAGGCTAAATAAATTTCAGTAAAACGTTCCTTCATGTTATGGATTTCCATTTTTTCCCCCATAATGGAAATGCTCTCCTGCTCTAAGTGTTTGCTTTACTTGGATGAGTGTTTATTAAAGTCCAGCAGAAGATGAGTTGTGTGTTGCACTAGAGACATGGCTTTTTCCTAACCCTATACAATTTATTATGAGTGTGGAAGGATTTCAGGAGGAAATTTACACAAAGGCTGAATGGAAAAGTATGTGAACCAGCTGTCTTAATATAAAGTAGTCTCTTTGCCTTTTTGAAGTTTATAGCAGAAAGGCCTATTTTTTAGAACGAATGAATACTTGTATATTATTATTATTATAAAATTAATTAATAAATACACGTAAAAGTTAATTAATTAAATGTCATTGATCTATTTCTTCCCTTTAAAAAAAACCAACACCCGTTTTTCTGCACTTCCAGCTAATTCTATCTGAACTCTGAATGTGTAGATAAACGGAAGGAAGGTATAAAGTGCAGGGTTATCAATGACTGAGTAGGTGGGTTTATGTTTATGAAGTGTGAGAATACGCTAGTAGTTTGCTCAAAGATCATTCTCTTATCTGACGCTCCTCTGTTTACCTGTTATGTCGCCATGGTGATCCGCCCCCATTACTTAATGTCTTTCATAATCATCATCACAAACTTGCACAGGTGTCATTTCGTCTAATATGAGAGCAAAAGACGCTGCTGAAATGCGTTTGAGGGGAAAAATTGGCGCAGAGTCCGCGAGGCTACTTTGGTTAACTTACAAATAACTAAAGAGAAAGAAGTTCCCCAGGTTGTCCTCTTAGAAACAGGAAGTGCGATGATGTCAGCGCGAACAGTGACGCGCATCTGCTCGCGCTGGCGGACGGGTTTCTTCGTAGCCATGGCGACAGCTTTAGTGTGAGCAAACACCCGGCGCTCTTGTTCTGAGCAGCGGCAGATCTAACGTTACATGACTTACATCAGAACTGTGTCCACACCTGGACTAACGTAACGGTACAAACTCTCGTGAATGCGCGGCCTCGATAATTCAGCTATATTTGATCACTAACAACGCCTAATTGAATAGGTAAAGGGGTCATATAATGACATTTTCAAAGATTATTATTTTGTTCATTGGGTGTAACATGAGTTAATGTTCAAAAATACATTATTTGTCACTTACTGTACATTATTGTAGCTCCTCTATTCCAAAAGATCGTTATGTGCTCCTATAGGAGAAATAAAATACAATGCAATTCTCATGGTCAGAAAATTTAACAATGCTTTATAATACTATGCCAACAACAACGTAAATCACAAACCATGAATATGTAACCTAATAAAGTGATACAATCCAACTGTAAGTCCCTTCGTCACAATTCTCTCTAAGTCACATTTATTACCGGTATACTTTTTACAATACTGTTTCAAAGCTTTACAGGGATAATAGGACAATAATGCAACAAAGTATCTGCAGATCTATACAAAATAGTGTCATAACCCAGCTTAGGTTCAGTGTTGATTCATTTCTGTTGTAAAAAAGTTATTAATTCATCTATATAGCCATTCTGATGTCTTTGTCCAGTTCAGTTCTCATATAATGGTGTCATTAGCCCCGTTTCCATTACCTTTTAAATTACGCATATTGCAATTGAAAATACGCACAAAATATTTCGCAAAAACTCTCGTTTATCGTAAAAAACGTTTTTATGTTCACATGAGGAGGTTTTCCAGGCTATTCGAAAAAGGAATATTGCGCAAAACTGCAATGGAAACAGGTTTTGCGCATTTACAGTCACCTGGCTATGAAGACACAGTGTTTTGGGTCCGTGTCCACAAATTTTAATAATAATTATCATCATTATTATAACATTTATTAGGCTATAACCTATGTAGAAGATGCTTTTATCCAAAAAAGGAACAAAGTAATTTGTCACATGTTTTTCATAATCGAGGGCTAAGATTATCACAAATAAACACAAGATTTTGATGCATATCCAAGTGTGTGTGCGGAGTGTGGATTGCGCACTGCACGGCAGAGATAGAGGCGCGGGCGCGGACTTGCATTTTCCAATCAACAGTGGAAACAACTTAAAATACTCTCTCATTTATGGTCATACAGAAAATAGTAATAACCTACATTATTCGCTACTACTTTTATTTGTGTAAACGCGCAAAAACAAGAAAAATGGGGGAAAAAAATCACATTCATTTGTAAATATTTTAAATGGGCAAAAAGTCTGAAAATTTGTCTTTCGAAAATTTATTTATTTATTTTGCTTTTTGCACAAAATTTGGTGTGCCGTTCAAATTAAAATTTTGGTGTTCAACTAAAATACAACAACCGTTCATTTTTTGTTTTGCAATTAAGGGTTAAATAAGGTTTAAAGTTGCGCAAATCTGTAATGGAAACGCCCTAATGACAGGTCAATAGTATTGTTGAATATGAACTTAAAGGGTTAGTTCACCCAAAAATGAAAATTAAGTCATTAATTACTCACCCCCATGCTGTTCCAACCCGTAAGACCTTCGTTCATCTTCGGAACACAAATAAAGATATTTTTGATTGAATCTGAGAGCTGGATCAGTCCTAGATAGACTGCCTAAGGGACTGGCTCTTGACGGCCCATAAAGTCATTAAAGAAAAGGTTTAAATATTCCATGTGCCTACAGCGGCTCAATTATAAGTTTATCAAGCGACGAGACTACTTTTTGTGCGAAAAAAACATAAATAACGACTTTATTCCACTATTCCATTACTTCCTTATGGGCGCATGCGCGAGAACTGAGATGAGGACGTTCTCATTCGTCTACTTCTTGTTACCGGCTGCTCACCGCTTAGGAGTATTACCGCCACCTACCGTATAAGATGATGTGCTGATATAGCTGGAAGCGCAAAACTTTCTGTTTACAAGCAGAGGAAGATGCGCGCGTGCACTTAAAAGCCTTTAATCTTCTCAAAAAACGACAGTGTTCCTTATAATCCGGAGCGCCTTATATATGGATCATCATTTTATACGGTAGGTGGCGGTAAAACTCCTAAGCGGTGAGCAGCCGGTAACAAAAAGTAGACGAATGAGAACGCTCTCGTCTCAGTTCTCGCGCATGCGCCCATAAGGAAGTAATGGAATAGTGGAATAAAGTCGTTATTTATGTTTTTTTCGCACAAAAAGTAGTCTCGTCGCTTGATAAACTTATAATTGAGCCGCTGTAGGCACATGGAATATTTAAACCTTTTCTTTAATGACTTTATGGGCCGTCAAGAGCCAGTCCCTTAGGCAGTCTATGCAGGACTGATCCAGCTCTCAGATTCAATCAAAAATATCTTCATTTGTGTTCCGAAGATGAACGAAGGTCTTACGGGGTTGGAACAGCATGGGGGTGAGTAATTAATGACTTAATTTTCATTTTTGGGTGAACTAACCCTTTAAAAATACCCGTTTTGCATAAGCGTATAACGTTAAGTAGGCCTATGTTGCATCCATCAAAGATAGAACTTGTTACTTCTTCTTCTTTTCCTTGTTCTGCATAGCATATCTAGACTATGGTTATTATGTGTGCTCCGCGTTAAACATGAACTCCGCCCACTTCCGGCATCAGACTTTTAGGCTGGCGCCTCACACATGACGGTATGGTTCTTACCATAATCGCGAGCTTCAGCTTCCAAAGCAATTATAAAGACAGTTAATATTGTCATCAGTTTTACCATATCAGTTAAAACCCGAGTCAGATTCTGAAAATGCTGATGACCTAAACTTTTCAAGCGTTACTTCAGCAGAATGTTACACAGTCTAAATCCATTTAAAACTCATACCTTTCAGATACGATGAAGACCTACTCTCCCAGGTTCAGGAAACTGTCCTCCATAAAAAATTAAACATTTTGTTTGTACTTGTACCTATTGTTCTGGAACAGTGATGAATTGCGTCCAGTTTTGGAAGGCCAAATAAAGTGCTTTTGAAACGCATAGAAACACAACACAACAACACTACAGCG